CTGTCCTAAGAATGTAAAAAATCAGGAAGCAGAGACAACAAGCATCAGACTTGCCTGAGGTTTACAGAGATGAAAGTAAGAAAAACTATGTCAAAAGGATCACCCTAACTTTTGAGTCCTAAATCATATAAAAGATATGTTTAAAGATGAGCTTGTTGTTGTCAGTCAAGATGAAACAAAAAGACCTACTGAGAACTTGATGGGTGGCATCCCTTGTCTATAATCTGTGTCACACACAAGTGACTAAACTATTAAATGCAGACACTTTGATGCTTGTATGTGGGAGTGAGAAAGCGAGTAAATTAAATTAATGAAAGGATGTGTCTGAGTCGTGAAAATTAATTTACTCAGGGATTTTCTAAAAAAATTACAAGCTTCCCCTCCCATAAAGTCTCAAGTAGAGTTTTTGCTGTACTGTTGTCTTACACTTAGAGAAGAGAAAGATGTGAAGGCAAACCTGAGTAAGGAGGGAAATGTGAATTACCTCAGCATTTGCTCCAAGAATGTCATCTCCTTCAACTTTTATAAGCCTTTATACTACAATCAGAATTTAAAACTAATGAGAACCTTTTACCAAAAGACATTGGTATAAACAAATACAACTCTTTAATGTTGCATAACATTACACAACTGGATTTTCTACAGTGGTAGGATTGTATTTTGATGAAAATTGTATTTTGATGTGCTGTGGCCAAAATGAACAGTTTAAAAGTCATCAAAGTGGATTTTTTCACTTGAAAATAAAGAAACCAGACTTCTCAAGGTATTCCATTACCAGTCAAAGAACTGTTTTACTGGGATGACCAGAGTCTTATCTGTTTCTTAGTGTTGAGGACAGTGCAAACATCTATAAGTAAACATTAAAAGGTCTCATCTAAGCTGATTTTCTGATTGGTGGCCTACTATTTGAAGCACAGAATGATATACTGATGTAATACAAAATTGAAGCATGCCTAGAAATATGCAAGAACCATGTTATGAGTTACCTATTAGTCTAAACCTTTGCTAGTGGTCCTAGTGATGAATTTGTGTTGATCTTCAACCAACTTTTTATATTTTTGTTGAGTTTGGTTTTATTGTAGAGTTTTTAATCAGTACAATCCTACACAACTTGTAGCATCCAGGGGACCCAAAAGGGCTTTTGTTTTATTCCTTTAATTGTTGCTATTTTTCCATGACAAGAACTCACACCTAGGCCAATAATTGTCCAGAGAACAAATCAAAGTGAATGGAGTTAAGAGCATTATCAAATCAATTTCAAATTGATCTTTACTGTTGTTCTGAGCTCTTGTCTGCCTGCTCTCAATCCTGAAAGAGAACAGAACATAATGGACAACAGTCAACCCAGTGAGGTGGAGCAGCCAATGATGATATCACTGGAAAACATGATTGGACACAGTAGGGGAATAAATAACACTTGACAGCTCAGGACACATCTGCAGTGAGCAGCACAGCCTTAACCCCAGAGGGCCAAGAAAAGTATCTCTCATCAGGATAGAGGACAAATAAATATCCAGCCTGGTGTACATCAGTGGCATAGACTTGCCAAGAAAGAACTTGACATTCTCTGGTCACATGGGTGCACCAAAATGACTTAACTTGCACAAGAAAGACTCAAAGAACCAAGTAAAGCCAAAGAAAATGTAATGTTAAATATTTCTGTGGATCAGCACTGCAATATACCTGGAAAAATCTTACATAATTGAAAAAAACTGAACTGTAGAGAATGGGCTTTTAGGTAGAACACACCTATCTCAGGTTTCTGAGAGATGTGAATTTCCCACTCTTGAAAATGTTCAAGTCCAGGGTGGATGGGGCTCTGAGCAACCTTGTCTAGTGAAAGGTTCCCTGCCCATGTCAGGGAGGGGTTGGACTAAATGATCTTTAAATGCCCCTTCCAACCCAAATCATTCTATGATTCCATAATTATATGAATCAATTTCTAATAGCAGAGTGCTATAGTGAAATCTATGCTGAGTTCTCTTGCAACCTTTGTGGAGACATAGTGTCTCTATTCCTGGTACTGCATTGATGGACAGATGAATTTTTAAGGGAATGACTCACCACGATCATACAGAAACATGGTAATAGGGTCTCACTTGGTTGTACCCTAATTTATCATATCTTTCGCCTCATGTCTTTCTACCGTTGCATGGACAGCTGGTCTGGAAAGCAAGCTATTAATCAATCTCTGATGGTCAGAGGAAGCCAGTAACAATTCTTATTCAAATCATTTAGGTTGTCATTCGTGTTTCTCATTTCAGCATGCATTCAATCTGAAAACACTGGTGGTGTTTCTTTGTGCTTACTGGCACTCAGTGCTCACTGTCAGATCCTGCACATTCACAGAGTCCAGCTTATAATTCTCCAAAGATAGAATTACTACCAAGGACTTATGTATTGACAGTGATTGCCAGCAACAGTGGTAGAAAAATAGTAATGAAAAGAGGACAAGAAAAGAGGAAGGAATAAGCAGCCAGCAAAAGGTGTCAAGAAGTTCAGGCTGAGATGGACAAACCCAAAAAGAGGAGAGGGAGATATGTTTGCTATTAGTGCAAAATTAATGAGAGAAGTTCAGTGAATAGATAAGTTGCAAAATAAGGTTAAAATTGGTAGAATATCCAAAAAAGAGAGATAGGCAAAGTATGGTATACCAAAGGAAATGTTCAAAATGTTATCAGGAAAAAAAGGGATAGCCAAGAAAAACATCTAACTATTACTAAAGAGTAGGGTGAAAGCTATCAGTAGCATTAGAGGCTCTTGAGGATCTGAAAAGGAAAACAGTGACAGAAACTCCTACATTTGTTCAGAAACTGTGGGAAGAGACATTTCAATGAAACTGCAGGAAAGATGAAAGAAAATGAGTAATAAGTAAATGGTTCATATTACGAGTCTGAAGGTGAGGGAAGGTGAGGGGACTTCAGTTGCTAAATGATGAGTGAACAGAAATCTGCAACTGATGAGGACCCTCTGAAGATAAACATTTCTGTACTTAGTGCTTACACCTAAATAGGTGCTCCCCTTAGTTATTGGGGTGTGAGGTGGCATCTTGAGGTAGGTGGATCAGAAGCACAGACATCCAGTGTCTACTGGATGGTCAAAAAAATAATGTTTCAGGATCTGACAGCAGCAAAAAAAAAAAAGAAGGAGAAAAGTAGAAAGAATTAAAAAAAAAAAGTAAGGAAAGAAAGAGAGAGAGAGAGAGGATAAATGAGGGAAGGAGTCATTTCAGGGCTCCAGCAGCAAAGAGAAGGAAAACTGATGTATGGAAGAGAACTGCATGATTAATTTGAATCTCAGTACACTTCATGTGGAAGAACCAAAAAAGTGCAAACAAAGAAATATTTCAGTGGCATGAAAACAGAACCAGAGGAAGGGGAAACCAGTTCTTATCTGTAAAACAATGAAAGAAAGAATGAAATCATGCAATAACAACAACATAAGAACATACTTCAAGGAGTAACTTACAGCCAAATCTAGAATAAACTGAAAAGATCTCAAATTATATTTATAAACTTGACATAATAGAACAAGAAATGAAATACCAATATTACAAAAATAACCTGTCTCTCTTTTGTATTTGTTCCTCCAAAATGAGGAAAATAAGCTTAAAGCATATGGATTGTAAATAATTTGTTCGTTCATTCATTTCTGCTATTCTCTTTGGACAAAGCAATTTAGACTAAAGGAGAGACTTTATTCAGGTAAAAGTGTAATCTAGACTGTCTTGTGAACAATAGAAAATTGGACACTGGCTCAGGTGTTGAGGTGATTATTCATTTAAGTGTGAGGTGCTCTAGCCAGCATTAAAAATCAAAATTATCTCTGTATTCCTCCTAAGAAGGAAGAATGGAATTCTTGTCTATATTTTTCAAAATGTGCAATATCATTAGCAATATTAACACTGAAAAGCTGTTTTTGAATAATGTAAAATATGAGTGATATTAACAGAAGAGATATTTTTAAGCATGAATGATAATGACTTTTGGTTCCCAACTCTTTAGTTGATAATAAATATCACAGCTTTTCAGTGCTTTTCTGCACTTTTATGTCCTTTATACAAAATTAAATTTCAAAATTATTCTTTTCCTAGGCATTCCTATTACCGAATTACTCTGAATGTTATAAATTATTATTATGGCTGCTTAGATATTCAAATCACAATTTTCTATATATATCTACAATCTGCATGGAAGACAGCATGAAGAAATATTTGCTGTAGTCAAAATTGTTAATGTACACAAGGATCACAAAACAGTACGTTTTTTCTTACATAGAAATAAGGAATATAATACAATGTGTCATCGTTCATACCAACTACTTTATTAATATTTAGAATCAAAGAATCATTTTAAAAATAAAGCCAGTAAGACCTAAAATGACAGCAGTTAAGATAAATACTACTCACCTCCTTTTGAAATACCATATGGCATATATATATTTACATATCCAAAACTACCTGAGTGAGGTTTTCACAGTCAACACTAAAATAAATCATCTACATCTACAATTGCTATGACACTGTCTCTCAGACACTGTAGATTCTTTCACGATATATTTTACGATTTTTTTAGAAAACATAGTCACTGTCAGTGACTATGAGACATTTAAAATTTTTTCTGGTCATTAATACCTTTAGGTATGTTACAACATAGCGAAACATCAGGTGTACTAAACACAAAGTAAAATTACCTAATATTTCAGGTTCTTCTTCAAATGTCTTCAAATGTATTCTTCTCTAATGGACATTGGTAGAATTTGGATATACTACAACACTTACATTTATGCCAGTAATTTTATTTAATTGACTTCAGTGTTAGTATTTCTGAAGTCTTAAAATAAAAAATCTGCAATCTATTAATAATAATTAATTATGCCAATCATATATAGTGACATTATGTTATAAAATCAAGCAGAACAGAAAGTTATAAACTGTCAAGATTTAATTATGTTATTGTTATTTTATGTTATGTTCTTATTTTTATTAAGTGAACACATACCCCCACAGACATCTCCTTCTGCATTTTCACACTGTCGATCATCACATTCACAGTTTTTGCCATGAACTCTGTTGTCTCCTGGAGGGAAACAAGTGCATTGGCCGCATTCACATCTCCCTGTAAGAATAAACATGATAGAGTCATGATTTCAGTGAAGTAAAATAAATTAAATGAAAACCTAAATTTATTCTACACTCTACCCCCCAAGACAAACTACACGTCACCCCTTATTAGTTGAAGTGTGCACATAAACATGATTAAAAAAACCCAAATCAAACAAAAACATAGCAAACCAAAACTATTCCTCCTCCATGGCAACCAGAAGGACAGTATGTCACTGATATATCTTAGTGGAAACAGCAACAATAAGGAATCATTGGTATTGCATGCTTTTCATATCTGAACTTAGTATAACTGAGCTATGGCCCATGCTTATCTGCATAATTAACCTCTATAATTGATCTAAAATATTTAGCACATACCTCAGAAACTCCAATATTAATGTGATCAGAATTAAATAGTCTCCGCACAGGGTTATCTAAGATACTCTCTATTCATGCAGAAACATAACTCATCAAATACTCTGTCAAGCATTTTGAAAGCACAAATGCCTATAATTTTTCTTGTCTAGATCTCAGGAAACAGAAGTCAAAAGCACAACCTTTGTCAGAGTCTCCCCTTCCATCCACCTATTTACAGGAGAGCTCCCCAGAGCTTAAAGGGCCAACGGATTTATCCAAGCTCCAACAGATCTTCCACTCCAAAACCCTCAGTGCTGAAAGTGCTAAATAGTCAGGTGTGAAAAAAATTAATATCAAGGACAGTCTTACATTGCATATATTTGAGACAATCTCATTTCAGGTAACACTGGCCCTAATTTCTAAGGGTTTGCCTCTGTATGTTTTTAAACTGTTTCAACGCAATACTGGTGTGAGAATGTTGTAAATATGACCCAAACCATGGACCAAACTAATACATTTGATGGGAAAGACTATTATATGTAAAAAAACCCCACCAGAGACATGGATTAGGATGCAGAAAAGCCTGCTTCTCTTGATTTAACTTAATCACAGCATGAGTGAGTCTCAGCCTGGGCCTGCCCACTGCTCTACTGACTGAACCCAAATTTACAGCAGGAGCAAATATTTCTAGAAACTAAAAAACAATTCTTCAAGTGCAGCCTTTCGTTATGTAACCAGATAGTTAACCACACACTACATTAATATTTTAGCATTTTTGGAAATATTTTGCTGAATTAAAACCTTAGTGGAGGTTTTCTAACTGTAAGTTTTGTGACAATAAAACCTTTTAGGTTAACCTACTGGCAGATAATTCTTAATATTTTTTTCCATAATGTAAATTTATTATATTTATTTGGGAGGTTTTGGTTTGGTTTGATTTGGTTTCACTTAGGTGTTTGTTTGTTTGTTTTTAATAGTCTAATTCAGTTGGAGTAGTGGGGGATCTTATTAGTTATGGAAAAAAATTCTCCGTTCATTTTATAGCTGCTCCAAGCCTCAAATACACTTCTGAGCTGACCTTCTATATGCCAGAATTCAATCTAGAAGGACATAAAGTGCAAGAATTTTTAAAAAGTCATGCTGATAAAGAGAATTAGAGCAAATACTTCATGATAACTTTATGATATACATAGTTTAAAAACTATGTTGCATTGGCAATTATATGGGGATATTTATTCCAGAAAGAAACTTATAGGAAGTGCATCTACCACATCACTAAATACAGTTGTGTTTAGTAATCATGTCAAAAATTAAGATATGATTGTCTACAGAAGAATTTGTCTTCATTCTCTTAGCTGTAACTATTTGTCAAGAAGAGCCAAATTAGAAATTGAAAAAAAATAATTCCTTAGTACTTAAATATACAGAGAATTTTAATGAGTCTAAGTTGTCACTATTTAGGGCTCTCCACCATGCGTCCACCTTAGACAACATGGTTGTTTTTACAAATGTCACATCACGGTGTCCCAAAGAACAGTCAGTCACCCATGGGCAGAGAAGTACCTGATCAACAGGACCCATCTGCTGTGAAGACTCTATAAAACAAACAAAAAAGAGTCTTTAACAGTGGTATCCTGGCCAGCTATTGCTATAATAAAGAGGATGCCTGAAGGATAATAAAATCAGTTTAAGCAAAAGTTGCTTTGATGAGGAGTCGTCAGAGATGGAAAATCCTCCAGAGGAATGAGCAAAGGAAGGTCCTGTAATGAGGATTCTGCATGTTCTGTAATTAAGCATTATCTTCTGTAATGCTTAATTTAATAAGCCAGAATGACCTGAAAGCCCAGTGGCCAGTCACTTACGCTGCAATGGGAACAGGTTCCTCTCGGTCCTTGCTGCAAGTAATGTTTATTCATTTTATGTAACGTGCAACAGTTTCACCAGCAGAAAAATGGAAGGATGCCCATCCCCAGACAGATAGGGCGCATTTTTTCAGGTAAGAGATACAAGCTCAAAGGGAATTTAGGTCTTACTTTTTCAGTCTTCTCAGCTAATGAACAAAGCACAAACACATATATTCAAAAAGCCTGAATTCTTTGTTAATATCTGTGCTTCATATTTTATTTTGCCTGGCTCCCATCTAAGTTCAGAGTATGGTTTAGATCATCTGACTGCAGACATCAGCAGAACTGAAAGTGTCTCGAAAATAGACAAAAACCTCAATCAGCAAGTGCTCTAGAAAAGGATTTCTGATTTCTCTGAACTATTTCTTCACTTTTAAATATTCAAAGATACAGTTATAGTAGCTTAGTACACCGCTGCTGAAATTGATACACAAGTTATTAGTTTATCATTCCTTTACTTTCACACATGTTACAAGATAAGCACTGGAAACAAGGTTAATTAATTTAGTGGTGGCACTTAATAATTGCAACTTTTTACTGGCTTCAAAATAATATTTTGCCTCCAAAAGTACTGAGATTTTGGTTAGATTGTGTAAGGTAGGCTCATTCTGAGGAGATAGTTTAAATGAGAATTAAAGTCCTATTGATTCTGAACAGCTAACTACATAGGATGTATCTGCTACTGAAATATCAGAAGCCACACCTTATTCTGTGATGTTCTTCTCTTAGTTATTGTGATAAAACACTTACCAAATAAATTCAATCATTCAAAAATAATTTGAAGCTCACATTATACTGAAAAGAATTAGCACCTTACTAAACATGCTCTTTCTTTGTATAGAATAATATGTTTACCATAGCAACCTGATTATGCAGGGAAAGCCAAACACATCCTAAATTCTCTTTAAATTCCAGGACATACAGAAACAATTAAATACAGGATTACTATAATATTCTGCACCTTCTCAACCTTCTGTGCAAGAGCTACACTTGAGTAAAAAGAAATCAGCTGACCTCAGACATTTTACAGCAAGTGGTATCCACTCCTCCTAGCTAAACAAGGAGTAAATGTCATAATCTGATGGCTTCAGATGAAGGGAGCTTTATGATGCAGGTTGTATTAGCTATTAGCGTTGAAAAGCTTAACCTACCTATTGCAATGCAAGGTTCTAAGAATAGAATAATTATACAAGACATTTATTTGCCCTCACTTTTAGTATTTTCTCACACTTTTTCCTCCCATTGATGTCAGAAGGAGTATTAAATTATTCCTAATAATTGTTAGCACTTGAAGATTGAAAAAAAGGTCAGTTTAGGTTGGGTTTTTTTGTTTTTAAAGGGAATTAAGGTGCCATATCTCATCAAAACACATTAGTTCATTAAATAATTGACTCTAGAATTCTAAAAAATGCCTTTTGATTTTATTCACCATTTACTACAGCATTTTTTCATTCCTCATGTCCAATGTTTATGAAAGCATAACTAAAGTAAACAGTGCCTAGATTTACATTAAACCTGCTCCCATGCAAATTGCTGTGACCATTAGCTGCGTGCATTCAAACCAATTCCAGCTGCCTACGTAGACTGAATGAAAATCTCCTTTGTACAGGTAATTTTCATTTTAAAAAACTGTGCTAGAAGTATATAATTTGTGTAATAAAGCATTTTTACCCTGTTGTTGCCAGCAAAATTATCCGGAAGAAATAGCAATAGCTTTCAATGTAAAAATAAACACTGAATATAACAAGATTAATAAGATGTACTTCATTGCCTTTTCCTGTCTATAACTCTACAACGTAAAGGATTTTTCTGTGCAGGATGCTGAATTTTTATCTTCTAAATGAAAACAAATAAATAAAACTATTTTTAATTATTTTTTCTTTCTTTATTTTTTTTTTTAATGTGTAAGAAATACTGTACCAAATTGCACTGAGAATGTGCTAAAAGCAAACCAGGTTCATTGTCATCCGGGAAAGATGGTGTTCCAGGCCAATGATAAACAGAAGGGAATGTGCCTTTAGGAAGGACTTTTCTGCCCTGTGGCCGTCCCAGGCTTAACATCTGAAAGCATTGCCTATCAGAAAACAAAATTTCTTTGTTATCAAGTAATCTCAAGCAACCTGAGCACATTCAGTAAAGCTGCTGTGTCTTTCTGCCAGCAGAACTCATTTCATTACTGGATGTGAACAAGATGATCTAAAATAATGTTCAGAAATGGCAAATCAGAGAAGAGGGGTTGGAAGATTTGTACAGAAGATCATAAAGTTTCAGGGGACTTAGTGGGTGAGGGGAAGCAGATTTGACTAAAGGAAGTAATACCATATAGCAGCTTCAGGTAAGGTAAAACAAAATTCATTGGTTGAATGGTGGAATTAAAAAAGACCAGTAAAGAGAATAAACAGCACCACAAAATGGGCAAACAAAATGCAATGCTTGCCAAAAATAGGGCGGACAATATCATGTCTTGTTCAGTCAGAGGTGCTAAGAACAGTACACTCCAGCTGAGCTTGATCAACGTGGAGAAATTTAGAGACTCAAACAGAAAACAAATACAGACTTCTCAGTAGCTATGCATCATGTGTTCTGCATGTCCTGCTCCCAAAATAGCCTGGAATTAATTCCCACACCTAGAATGGCTTAAAAAAATCATATAAAAATATCGTACTGACTAGACAAAAAAAACCCCCTACCTTTTACATAGAGGAATCCTTTGTGTTTTAAATGCTGGCAATTCTTATATCTGGTTGACTGG